AACAAAAAAAAAATGCAATTCAGCTAAAGCCAGTGGAGCAGAAGAGTTTAACAATGTAGTTTCTTGTAAATGGAAGAACATTCGGCGCCATTAAAAAGAAAGGGTGTTTTATTTATAGTGCAAACGTGCGAAATGGGTGAACCGGGGTGAGCAACTTCGAGGTGAAAGTGCAAGCGTATCATACAATCCTGTATTCGCAGGTTTCTTGCTTCATTTAGAACGCAACAGTCCATGTTTTCTAATTTAGTCCCCGGGCATCTGTGTTTGAAACATGTATGGCATACCTGTAAATCGAGAAATAAAAATAAGCAAATCTGCAGCCTTGTTCCCCCTTGCTATTCTGTAAGTGGCGAATGAATGTATGGTACTTGCTATTAGATGTAAAAGAAATTTAAAAAAATGGGATGTGTTAGGATCACTATTTGCTACGTACGAGGAAATTTGCTTATATAGGTTTTTAATAATGCCAATGTATTCATTTTGGTGTTTTGTTAGGAATCCGGTTTCTGCTAAAATATAAATATGAATTCGCTATTAATATTATCAAAGGCGGTCGTTAGTGAACAACCTTGCGTTTAGTTCGATGTAGAAGGCAAATACGATGGGATAATAGTCGCAAAGAGGATCTCATCATTAATATTAACGAGTGATGACGTTTGTTTTTCGAAAGCAGTTAAACCAATTGATCTATGTCTCTGTCGATGTATTATAGCATAAATTTGCAGCTCTTCATTCTTACGACAGCTGGATTGAATTGAAATGATCTGTTTGAAGGTGGGTAAGCTAACGTATAAATCTTCGTAACGGGATCACCAACAATGACGTCGAAATTGCCACAGTGCGCGCGGTATGCGCACTACGAGGAAATTGTAGGGTGTATAATTGAGCTGTGTTATTTTATTATATCAACACTTAGGGTGGTAAGATTATTAACAGTTTCAAAGCATGATATAAAATATAAATAACACATATGTGTTATTCAATTTTCTGTTATCGAGACAATCTCTACAAAATATATAAAATAAATAGCATGATGTGAAGATTTGGAAGTCGATTACCGAGATTGCACAGCGGAATTCGATAAGCAGTGGAATGTTGAATTTATCACTCACGGTTAAATGCATTGAAATACATTAAATTAGTCAACTGAGAACACAATAACACGATTTAAAATGTAACAAACTTACTAGGCAAAAATGAAAAAACTACCGGTATTTCATTCCATTTTTAATTCTGAAATAATAATGATATTATAAAAAGTTAATTTTAATAATAAAAGAACAAAATATAACAAAATAATATGTTACAAACAAAGACAACTTGTAAAAATATTTTTTGTTGAACTCATACTATTAAAACATGATTCACATTACTACGAACTATATAATAATATAATTAATCATAAATATTATTACATTATTAAACAAAGTAATAATAGAAAGAAATAAAATCTATGCATAAAAGTAAAACTTCAAATAAACAAATTACGTGTAGACTCTCTCTCCCTCTGATGTAGACAGGTGTATATCTATGGCTATAATAGTCTTAATATGCCAAGTATTCAAAAGCAATCATTAACAAAATGAATACTTGTTTTTTTCCAATCAACATGCGTAGGGTTAATTTGTTTTTCAAATGATATCACTAAGTATTTTTGTCTGTCCAGATACACGGCTCCAAGTGGTCTGATAATTGTCGATTTTATTTACTGTTAATTCATTACTGATAGGTTGGAAAATTTATGGTCCGCAGCGGTTCCAACCTTTCGGACTTCCGTAAATTTCCTAAAAGGCATTTCAATTCAACTTATTATTGCCTACTGTTCCAGTCAGGCGTATTTTATTTTTTATTTTGAAGAAATGTTGAAGTTGGTTATCAAAACTGAACTGTTTGCTGCCCTCAATATCACCAGAGCTAAAGAGTGTTAAAATAGTTTCCACACGTCACAGTGGCAAGCGACATTCGTGACTTTTTCAACATTAAAAATGATTTTTTTTAATTTTTAAGTAATGTTGAAGTTGGCCAAGAAAATGAAATGTTTGCTGCCCTTTATATCACCATAGAGTGCTAAAATACAGTACTTTCCACGCGTTACATTCAGGAGATTTTCAACATTAAGTAATCTACTGATTAAACATTATAAAAACAACTTTGGTCCATACCATGGGAAAAAATCACTAGGAATTTAACTGGAGTCAAATATACTAGAATTAACAAAAGCCATTATCAGATCAACAATCAATTGATAGTCAGCAAACCACCTCTTCATCCTAATTTAGAATACAAAAGGTAAAGACTAAATGGATAAGGAAACTATTTCCAAGTAAGACCTAATACTCTCCAAATCACTGTCAAAAAGTACAATAATATGATCAGACTTCAGAAAATGACGAAGGTAATACTGTACATTTCATGTTGCCATGTAGAACAAGATAGGATCTCATGAATATATAACTGCTGAAAACGTTACAATAGATGGATGTACTACTTGGGACACCGACATTTAATAAACTATCTTTTGCATTTAATAAGACATAGAACAAAGTAATATTTCAAATTTTAAAAATCAAAATTAATGAATAAACTATAATTTAATGGTTCTTTGTTATGAGATGTGGACTGTTCATGGTCAAAACATTTAGAAAATATCTAATCTAAGTAGGCCTACTGCCCTTTATGCAATAAAAATAATGAAATATTATACATTTCTTGTTGTCATGTAGGTAGACAGATAACCTGTTTTATTAAAATTCCAAATAAAATACATCACAGGAGCAATGGAATGCTGAATTGTGATTGATTGATTGATTGATTTTGTGACTGATTGACTTTATTAGGAACTCATACAAATATACAACAATAGGTCTACAATACAACATGATAAAACAGAATTCTGAGGAAAACACAAAAAAGTTAAAATTTATTTCCATTGTGGTCCTGACGATATTTAAAAGTTTTTTTGAATGTAGAAAAAGGACATTATGATCTGACAATTACTACATAGTGTTTATACTCCAGGAAGTGGCAAAATTTTATTTGCTGCTGGTTCGTTGTTGCTGGTATAAATATATAAAATAAATAAAAAACAAGCTCGCATCTGATTTCGATTGTATTTATGAGTAGAGGTTAATATTCAGTACAGTAGTCATTAGCTTTTTAACAACTCCATGAAAATAGAGCTACTAATTAGGGTTGATGTATGACTTGGAGACACCAGGCAATTGATGAAAGGTATTTGCATTTCATATTTTACAGGATACAATTGTAAAAATGAAGATTAATGATTTAAGAGTTCATTGTTAAAATTTCTATCAATTTCACTTGTTAATCTAGATATTTTAATGTGTCAGCTATGTAAAATTGTGTGTACAGTATATTGTAATAATAATAATATCTTGTATTGCGCATTCCAATTCAAACTGTTGAATGCGTTTTCAACAGTTGCGTTAAAATGGACAAATCAAATCAAAATACAGTATACAAGGAATAATTATACAAAGTTAAAAACTACCAAATTTAAATTAGAAAGCACATCATTATTATTGTGTGACCACAAACACACAGCAGTTTAGGGAAAGGATTACAGTAAATGATTAAATCAAGAATATTAATAAATTCTTTGAAACTGACTATTTTATAATGAAAATTGTTAGGCTTGCATAAAAATTGGCCTTTGGGCTATGATTTGCGACCAATATTAAATGTTTTTTTATAATAAAGTGAAAAAAAAATGAATGAGACCACCGGCAAACTATGTATTATATGAGAAGATTGGTCTATAAACTGATATAAAATCCCCATAAATCCCTTTCCTGTACTATGTACAGAGTTCTTTAAAGTATTATGAAACACACAGTTTAAATGTCTAACATACAGTACATTTAGTGATGCTTTTCCATATTTCGAATGAGAGCAACTGGATGAAACTGAATGTGGGCCCAATGATCTCCACGGATCAGTAAACTCGCGGCTATCACTACTTTAGCCATTCTAAGCTAAACCATTAATCATCAAATACAGTGCACACTTTTTTGGATATTTCATCATTGCTTTTATTTTTTAATAAAAAAGTTTTACACAGACATATAAATTCTTAAAAACAATATTTTTTAAATACCATATTTATTCGAATAAATGCCCCGCTTTGAAAAAAAATCCCCCTCAAATAAGCACCCTTTCTAGAGGAATAAAGGCCCCTTAAATAAAAGCCTCAATGTGTTTTTATATTTTCTGCCTAAATGACTAGAAACAAAATTAATGGAAGCAACATTTTTTTAACACATTCTATTAATGTCCTACTTCAGTAAAATTACATTTTTCCTACCCTGGTTGACAATCACACGATAACACATTTCGACGGTAATTATATGTTGTTAGTTCCACATTTACACTGAAATTAAGGGCTTCTATTTGAGTATATACGTATCTATTTTACACCAAAAAACAAAGATGTATTCCTAGATTACATGCATCCCTCGAATAAATTCTCCTTCAAAAGCCCTTTTCAACAATAAACATCCCAGAACATTTATTCAAATAAATATGCTAATTATAATATAGATATAAAAATTCTACAAAATCATTGCAAGGAACCATCCATAATTTTCATCGCTTTCAAAGAAGTTCAAAACATGTGCTTTTGGAAGCTGGGGGTGGAGGAAGGAGGTTAAAAGTGTAGACACATGTACTCTATTTAATATGAAAAGATAAATTGATGTAAATACGGTAATTATAATATAAATATAATAATTCTACAAAATCATGGTAAGGGACTATCAATAATTTTTCATCATTTTCTAAAAAGTACAAAACATATAAGCTTTTAGAAGTTGGGGTGGGGGTAAAGGTAACGGTAGGAGAATAACCCATAACTTGCAGCGTCATTGTGCTGAATTGCGTATGGGCGTGGTCTGTGACTACCTAGCAGCTGTAAAGAGGCACTTCTTGGTAGATACATGTTCACATCATTCTGCAACAACAGGGGCTGAAATGAACCATAACATCGGGGTAACCCCCTACTCTTCCGAAAGATGAAATGGGTTCTTTAAAGTGCACACGAGCCAGATGTATACACTGGACCTAAATTTTAAGTCCTTATCCAAGAAGACTTGGTTCTACCAACCGAATCATGGGCGAGGAGTGGCCCGAACCAGTACAGATGTTTGGGGGGGGGGTGAAGTTTGTACTCTATTATGAAAAAAATAAAATGAAAAAGATAAAATGGTGGTCTCAAAATGCTAAAAATCATAAATTTACAGTGTAATCTTTGAGGAGGAGGAAAGTGTTCACAAAAAAGTGTATGTTTTGTAATCTTGTAAAAATGATGAATATAACAGATGACTTCTAAATTGACTTTGTATACCGCCCTCAACTGGTTGACCCAGATTGTTTACTTCGTGTCCTTTTAGCAGGCCCATCGTATAGCCTTTCTTTCAGCACAGGTTCTGCATCACAATTTGAAACATAACCATCAACAAATGATGGGACTAGGTCAACATCCTGAAAAACAGAAGACAAACTTAACTTTCATATTTTGTGACGTATAAAGTTGCTCTCTCTCATTTTCTCTAATTGTGCTTCTATGTTTTCTCAAACTTAAGTCAATCAACCAACCATTTATGAAGAAATTTATTATTTATAGCTTTTGTTATGGCTAAATTAAAAAAAAATCATTATTGTTGGTTTGTACCCCAATGGGAACCAACAATACATGTAGCTACACTACATGTATTGTTGGTTCCCATCAAATTATGAAGATGAAAAAGTTATTTTGAATAGGATTAGCATGATTTAATGTGAACTTGCATTAAATTATTTTATTAACACACACACAACTGCCACTTTAAGCTACACACATTTTTAAAATATATATGAGGAAAGAGGGAAAGAGTTTCCAAGTATTTCTTTTTAAACACAAAATGGATTTATTTTACAAACCATATGTTAAGTAAGCAAGTGGTGCCCACAATTACCAACACTTTGATTTATTACAGCCATGCACTACAATTCCATTTGTACCGTGGCCTTTAAGTTTATTGGGTTTTGTCCAGCTAAAGGAATTTGTTCAATAGAAATTAGTCTTGTGAGGGAAAGCAAGAAAAAAATGTTTCACTCAGGCAATTTAGCAAACACAAAATGGATTAACCGCACATATCATACTATAGAGGGCACCCTTCAAAACAGAATGTTGCACACATTCACAATTCCACTCAATACAAATGGGAACTGCATTCTATTACATTAATTCTTTTCCATTTGTTCCATTTATAGGGTTACATCCAGATTTGCCATAGGATCATATTCCCTATAATCAGTGGAATATGATCTTGCAGCAAATCTTGATTAAAACCTACAAATGGCAAAGAATTACTGTAATAAATGTGGTTCCCAATTTGCTTTAGGATCATATAGCACACCAAGAAGCTGTATAATGTGTACTCCTTAATAGAAAAAAAGCTTGAATTACCAAAATAAAAAAAAATAAATAAAAAATTAGGGACACAAACTTACCTTTCTTGGAAAGACAATCTCAAGAAGATTAAAAAGAAGGAAATTGAGAATGGCAACAAGTGAAAAGAAAATATAGAATAAAAGGTTGCTGTTGCCATAGCGCTCAATACGCTCCGAAAGAGTAAAACTTTCTGCCTGTGAAACTCTGTGATATATCTTGAAAAAAAAAATAAGAGAAAAATTTGTAACTTTGACTTCATCTATTTTGGTTCTTATCTCAAAATCTATGTATAATATAAAGATATATTTAAATACAGGTATTACCAGCTTATTCTTGGCTTCAAAATTCTTAATAAACATTAACAGATTGTGCTCACAAGAATGAGAGTTTTGAGGGCAGGTTTATTCATTGGAAAGCATAGGCTTAGAAAGCGAGCTTTCCGGCTGTCTTTTGGACGGCCTACAATTATTTACGTGACAGCTTGGACGGCTTGGCCTAATCAGCTTGGCGTAGTCTAATTGGGCCTGGTCTACCTTTAGAAAATTCTTTATATTCTTCAAATCTATCGAATGTTACATTACACTAAAGCTAAATAATATTTACGTTTGATAAAAATAACATTTATTCATGGAATGTACATTGTTTTCGTACCAATATTCGGTGGGGATTCCCAAATATGGGCGTGGCCTGCCCATCGGCTCATTGCCACGCCCACTGGCTTCCATTTTGGACGGCCTATTTCATATTTCTGGCTAAACTCCTGCTGGAAAGCTAAAAGCAATATTTTTCTCAACTCTGTTTTTGTGTCCTTTGTTAGACACTGGGAAGAACTACCTCTTTAGTTCAAACCTATTGCAAGAAGGATTTAGTTAAGTACTTTATATCTTTTTATCTGATCAATTTTTTAAATATTTTTTTTTGTATTACTGTATTTCATTCTAAACGACAGGGAGAAAATCTTGTTTAGGCTCTTGCCCATTTCCTATCCAGGGCAAACCATGTTGTTTCAATTCTGTATAATGTATAAATTGTGAAATGAATATTTTGTGGAGAGACCTCATAGTTGCGACATTTCTCAGCACAAGATTATATGAACTGACAGTACACAGTACTCTTTTTCATGTGCAATGAATCATTACACAGATATTGAACTATTCTGCTGCCCTCTATAGCCACAACAAATGAATCTTTTTTATAAGCCTTCAAGAAATCTTAATGTACTATAGAGGACGCTAAAGTGAAAATAGAAAACGTATTTTTAAATGTGTTGAAAATATATAATAACGATGATGATATTATGATGATGATGATGATGATGATAATGATGATGATTGATGATGATAATGATGATGATTTTTAATCAATTCCATTAATTTGTTTTTCAAAAATAGGGGATAAAATGCAAGTTACTATATCACATCTCCTCTCCCCCCCCCCCCACAAAAAAAGCACCATTTTCCCTCCCCCCCCCATCTCCCCCCCCCCCCAAAAAAGCACCATTTTTCTGAGATGACAAATAAAAGCTGCCAGACCCTTGCCCTTCAAAGCTCATTTGGTCTATGTGTACTTATCAGAAAGAAGATGAGTGGATTGTTCCATATTAACACAAGTATATTCGCCCCCCAGGGTGTTGCTGAGGGTGCTAGTTTTAACGACTATCCCTGTTAAAACAAGGTAACATTCTAGCATTTATTACTTAATTGTTATACTTGTAGAACCACAGACTTAACGTCTGATAGTTGGGTGAAGATACACCTAGACGATAACTAACAAATAATGTATACATGTGTGTTGTGTTATGTTACTGGCAGTACAATAATTGCACAAGTGGTGGCTCCCTCTGAACATATACCAACTTAAGTAAAAAGTGGACGAGAAAACTTGTATTTGGCAGAGAAAATAGAAAGTACTGTCCCATTGCTAGCAACAAGTTTGCTCGTCGTCTAATATTTTCCCGCTAATTTATTAGACACACTATTAAAAAATTATGTATACTTGTTATGGTACACAGCACAAAACCTAAAAACAAAGGTCTGGCAGTCAACGTGTTAACAGATCTGTCATTTTGATCTACACACATTTTTAACTGTTAAAATGATTTTTAAGGCAACACACTTTTATGCCTTGTTTTCGCCTAATGAGTTAAACCGCAGATTTTATTTGATATATACATACATAGACATACAGGCCAAGGATCCTGAATATTTAAATATCTTTAGACGACATTCCCTTTCCCCAGCACAACACGAGACAATTTACATCCATGAATTTGATATATGTTGGCACGTAGGCCAAGGATTGCAAATACATCCGTGTCATACGACACATCGCTGACATGGCAGGAAGTGAATCAGCCAGTACTTTGGGAGACAATTCGCACACTCCCCATTACCAATTAGCGAGTTCATTTTCATGCATGCAGCCATTATGTACACGGGACCAAAGGCATTGTGTCTCATCCGAAGGACGAGCTAATTAGAGTGGTAAGACATCACTTTAATGAAAAAAAAAATACTAGATCTGTAGGCATCATTAAGTTGATGCTAATGCAAAAAAAAAAAAAACAGTATATTTAAAAAATATTCTATTATAGTATAGTAATGCAAACCTAATATTTGTATGCAAATACTTTTTATCTTTTATTGGATACATTCTGTAATTTGATGGGTTTCTTTTTTGGCATTTCTTGGTACTCAGGGTCAAAACTATAGTCTCTAACACATTAAGAAAATTACAAAAATAATTTGTAACATTACGGGTATGAAAGTCAAGAAATTTAGCGGAATATGTGCGAAAGGTCATTAGATATGCTGATAATGGATCGCATGCATCATCTTGCCATGTTGATTTCACCAAGTCTTACCAGATGTGTTAAGTTTAAGTGAAGACAAATAGCTTTCATTTGCGTCACATAAAAGACTGTGTTGAGAAATTACAATCCAATACAGGGACGTAGGCTGGTTTTGGTCTAGGGCTGCAAAATGGCCTTGGGGGGAGGGGGTGCGAGAATTGAGAATGTTGAACTAAATCCCTATTCCAATGCCTAATGGTCATTTTTATTATTTTAACCCATTTAGCGGAACTAATTTGCTATCATGTGGGGCTAATTATTAGCTTTCAATTTACCAGATTATTCACCAAAGTTCACTAAAGAGTATAGAAAGTACAGTGCTGTCTCTTATACACATCTAGATGTGTATAAGAGACAGGTTGCACACATTCACAATTCCACTCAATACAAATGGGAACTGCATTCTATTACATTAATTCTTTTCCATTTGTTCCATTTATAGGGTTACATCCAGATTTGCCATAGGATCATATTCCCTATAATCAGTGGAATATGATCTTGCAGCAAATCTTGATTAAAACCTACAAATGGCAAAGAATTACTGTAATAAATGTGGTTCCCAATTTGCTTTAGGATCATATAGCCTGTCTCTTATACACATCTAGATGTGTATAAGAGACAGGGCGTGGTCTGTGACTACCTAGCAGCCGTAAAGACGTGCTTAAGGTCCACATCATGCCATGACAGGGGCTGAAATGAACCATAACATCAGGGTAACCCACTACTCTTCCGAAAGATGCAATGTGTTCTTTAAAGTGCACATGAGCCAGATGTATACTGTGGGCCTCCATTTTAAGTCCTTATCCGAGAAGACTTGGTTCTACCAACCGACCCCCCCCCCCCCCCCACCCCCAACCCTAACCCTAACCCCAACCCTAACCCTAACCCTAACCCTAACCCTAACCCTAACTCTAACCCTAACACTAACC